AAAAGTATAAAAACGAAGTACAAGAAGTAAAGCCATGCTGTTATGTTGAGCTATAAGGGGACTCAGGTCAACAATTTCTGACACATCCAGTCAAGTGGAAGACCCAATACTATTATGGATTCCTGGACTCTTTTAGAATATTTTGCTGCTGGGATTGTTGTAATATCTAAAAGGGTATATTTATATGCCTTAGTTCTTTGAGGGAATAAGTGACAGGGATAAAGAGAATGGAGAGAGTAAATTAGAAAGGTAGGTTGAGGTGAAACTCTAATGTCAGGCCAAAGAGTAAGTCACAAGAATCATCAAATATTTTCAAGCTTAAAAATAACACAATTATAAGAGAGATCAGGAAGTAATTAGACATTAGTAATGGGCATTAAGACCATTATGTAGAAAGCAACATGGGCATTTCTCTGGCAAAAAAGGACACACAAGAAGTTACTGTGGTAGTAGCAAAAAGACACGGTGACTGCCTTGTTTCCTATTGCAGGGAGGTAGGTGTTGATGATTTTGAGAATTTTGCATTATTATGAATAAGAATAGGGGAACTATCTACTGTAGGTCCTAAAATAATGAAGCAAGAGGTCACAATCTGAGGATATTTTATTTTATTTATTTATTTATTTATTTCTGTGGTACCAGGAATTCAACTCAGGGCCTTATGCTTGCCAGGCAAGCGCTTATTCTACTGAGCTAACTCTCTGGCCCAGGATGTTTTAACCTAACATAGTACAACAAAATTTAGTAAAGCATATATATATATATATATATATATCTCCAGCTGATTTTCAGGGAATCAAATGGTCAAGTTTCTGCCAATCACACACAGCCAAATGGTTACACCATGCTCAATCAGATCCAATGCTTCCTTACATCATGTGCAAATAAGGAAATTTGTGGCTTAAACCAATTCAGTAATTTCTCTATTTTCATGTTTGGCTTATAAATTTTATTGCTCACATTTATATGAAGAGTGCCTCGTATATCTTCTGGTACTGAATAATGCCGCAGTCATAAATCATTATTTACTCGAACAGATTTTTAAGTTTGTCTACTTCTTTTATCAGGGAAGTATGTTAATTATAATAACATTTTGATTTTAAGATGTCATGCAGGTATGTATGAAATTGAAATATAGGTCAGGAGTCAGCAAACTGCAGACCAAATCATGTCAACTGCCTGCTTTTGTAAATAAAGTTTAACTGATATATAACCATATTAATTAATTTAGGTGTTATTTAACAATACCTTTATACTACAGGAAGTTGGGACAGAGATCCTTTATCCAGGAAAACTCAAATACCCTCTCTGGCCTCTTTTACAAAAAGTATGTTTTCAAGCCCTTGTCTAGTTATTCAAACATCTAGAAGAGTAGCTTCAGGGGGGTGGGGGTGGGGCAGAGACCACTGAGAAGTTGGAGCTGGGTTCTATTCTAGAACATTCCTTTCATAGGTGAGGGCCTATCAGGCCCTGGTTTGGGATAAACTCACTACAAATGGGTGGGTTGGGAATTTTGGGATTTGCTTACAAGAGCTACATTTTCTTGGTTCTGAGTCTTTTCTGACCACTCCCATTTCTTCTTCCCTTCTAAGGCTTTCACTCAAGTAGTGGGTTCCTTTGTTTCACAGGAGAGAGAAGGACTGTCCTCTCCTACTCCCTTCCACCCCTGTACTCTCTGGAAGTTGGGACATTCCCAGAGTAGAAATCTACATGTTTGTCCTCACAACTCCCTTTCCTTAGTAACCTGAGAAGAGGAAAGACCCTCCTGTCCCTGGCCCTGGTAGGGAGTGGTGGTCAGCCTATACCTCTTCTGGGCCCTGGCTAGAGAGTTAAGGTCTCCTTAGGAAGTGTCTTAAAATGGGGGAAAGCCTGGCTAGAGAGTCATTGTGAGGGTCAAGTTTGGGGAAAGGAGGGGTAGGAGAAGGTTGTGGGGAGAGAGGAGGGCCTGAGAGGGAGGAAAGGAACAATGGATTGATTTATCTCAACAGGGCCAGCAAAGCCACTAAGGCCCTTTTAACCATCATGGCCTTGAAACCCCAAGACCCCTATACTGGGTTCCGGCATGGCACCGTGGCAGACTTCATCAATAAGAAGATGTCCAGGCATGCAAAAGGTCCTGAGTTCTACCTTGAAAACATGTCTCTGTCCTGGGAAGAGATAGAAGACAAGATCAAAGCCATTCTGGAAGACAGTGAAATGTCCATTGATGCTCAAGAAGCCTGTGCCTGGGGTTGCCTGGCTCTGGGCCTTCGCTTGGCTCTCAGGCGGGGGCACTTACAGGGGCTCAGGGTGCAATGGCTACAGGACTTTGCCAAACTGCACAAGTCAGCCACTTATGCCTTGGCCTCAGATCTGAAGCAGCTCATAGAGCAGCAGGAGGTGGAGCGCAAGGAGGCTGCCTTCCAGCTGTGGCTAGCCCATGCCAAACTGGCCCAGGTGCAGAAAGAGAGGGACCTGCTGAGATGGAAGCTTTTGCATGCGGTAAGGTAACCCCACTGACCCCCACTCCAGTCCTACACCTGTACCCCCACCTCCAGGATAGGTCTCAGCCCTGTCTATTTTTCTTTAGGAGCTGAGAGCTTTCCCAAGACCAGCTGTGGAGGAGCCAGAACCGGTACAGGTAGAGACACTAGGAGCAGGTGAGAAGCAGGAGGTGGCAGAGGCTGAAGCTAGTGCCACAGGTGGAGAAAGAGGAGGAGGTGAAGAAGAAGAGAAGGATGTGACCAATACAGCCCCAGAGGAGGCCACACAGGAGCTAAGCGAAAGCTTCCTGCATCTTCTTAGAGTTGTCCAGCAGAAAAATTACACCGCTGGTCAAGAAAGAGAGGGTGATAATAATCCTGTAGAAACAGCCACACTTTATCTCTCTGGGGCCATGAAGGCCACGTCCACATCCTCACCAGAACCCCTTCCTGTCCAGCTCCCTGCCTCTTTCTCATACAACTACTCAAGCCCTTTTTCCTGTTTCCCTGTTGCATCTACCCTATCCCCACTAACAGCCCTGAGTTCAGCACCTATTGAACCTCAGATGCCCCCTGACTACTCAGGCTCTGATGTTAGCTTCTGGTCTACTGTGTGGGCTCCAGAAGCAGACTCTGAGGAACACTACAAAATGAAAAGAGACCTGGAACTCCATCAGCAGAGAAAACATCCAGTGTTTCGAAAGCCTGGGGATTGGGACTGTCCTTGGTGTAAGGCCGTGAATTTTTCACGTAGGGAAAATTGCTTCCGCTGTGGGAGGGCAATCTGGCTGCAAAATCCTTAGTAAAATCAGCAACTTGCAATGCAACAACACTTGAATAGGAAATTTATTTTCAGAGGCGGGTGGCCTGCATGGAGTATGGGGGTAAAGGGGGTATATGGGGCCAGGGAAGTGAACAAGGTGGGTGGGCATTGGAGAGGGTGTAGTCGGTGGGGAGAGACATGCTTTGATGATGATCCCTTTTGCATTCCACACAACACCCCAGAACTGATGCAGCTTCCTTATGTGTGTGCGTGTGCGTGTGCGTGTGCGTGTGTGTGTGTGTGTGTGTGTGTGCATGAGTGTCTCCCCATCCTCCTGTCTGGTAGATGTATGAGCTACTTTTATAAGCCCTCCTACCACCCTACCACCACATTCAGGCCTTAGATGATGGGAGCAGGAGTGGGCATTTGACCCATCATGAGCCACACAGATTCTCGGGCTACAGAATATGAACCAAAAGGTGGATCCCATACTCAGAATAGAGTCAAGTGATGGAGTAGTGGGTTGCTTTGAATTAGGGTTTGGGTCAGGCACAAACACTGAGGCCTAGCTCTGGCTGTTGGGGTCCAGAATCAGACATTTTGCAGAGGGTGTCTTTTAGAGTATACCTGTACAGAATAAGGTCCAGGAAACAGAAGGACATAGAGTACAGAATAATTATAGTACTCCAGCAAAGAATGGAGAGTGGCGGTGACTGTTTCCCCTCCTGCAATTGTGCTATGTGACCATCAACTTCATGCAGATCTCCTTTTCCTATAGTAACTTCAATGCATTCCTGTTGTGAGTAACCAGACCCTTTCCAAGTCAGAAACTGGCACCAGGAGAGCAATTTTAAACAACAGACTATCAAAATTTTGAAATTGGGTGTGGGGTTATTCCACAGTTTGACAAATAGTAGGGATTACTGTATCCTAAGAGTCCCCAGAGAATCTTTCCCAGTCCCTTCTGGGTGCAACCAGGGTGAGTAAAATCTGAGTGGGAACTCATACCACTTTAGAGGAAGTGAGTCAACCAGAAGGTTAGCTGGGCCGGACCAAAGGGCCAAAGCATGGTGCTCTTTCTTCAATGCACTATCAAGATACATGTGGAGAGAGTCTATCTACAAAGCTCTCAGTGAACTCAGAAACATGAAGTAGTACATAAACATATGACAATGTAAAATTCAATTTCCAGGAAGTGGGTGAGAGTGGGTGGTGGGTTGGTTTGCTTCTCCCCATCTGATGACTACAAGCTACATGAAGGGGGTCATGTGGCTTTTCACCCTCAGAGAGAAGACTGGGGAGCAGTTGCACCTGGACCAGACTGAGATAGTATTAGAGAGACCCTGGATGTCTACTGGGTACTGAGGATGTAGGCACTACATAGCCATTGTGGCTATGGGACATCTCTGTGGAGGCTTGATTTAGAGTTGTCTCCTAATAAAGGAGTGTATGGACAATTACCAGCAGGATTTGGAGCCATATCATTAACTTACAAAATTCCATTCATATTCCTACTCATGAATTTTATTGGCTTTATTTATTTCTCTCTAGGATAGAGTTTTCTTATCCTTTCTACTCCTTACATTTTGAGTTAGAATATTATTTGGTACTGAGGGCTGTCCAGGACATAGTAGGATGTTCACCAGAATCCCTACCCTCTGCACAGTAGATGCTGGTGGTATCCACTCAACCCTACTCCCTCAGTTGTAGCAATGGAAAATGTCTCAGGACATTGCCAGATGTCTACTAGAGTGAAAAGCATCCCCACTTGGGAAGAGTGGGGCAGTGAATTATCTAACAACAGTGTTATCAGGGGAAGAAACAAAGGGGAAGATCACAGAGACTCAGAAACCCACTAAGATAGGAGTTGAAAACTGTTCTTTGGGCCTAACATTTACTTTGGCTCTTAAAGTCAATTCAGGACAGTGGCTCTGTAAGAGTGAAACTGCAAGATTAAGAAGTGAATGGGAAGTAGGGAAGCCAACTCAGGGAGAGGAAGCTCTTTTCAAGGACAGAAGCTGGCTGTGAAAGGATAGAGTCCTGTGAGATATATCATTGATAGTTTTTTAAATATGGGAGAAACTTGACCAATAAAGGGGATAACGGAAAAACTTTGAAAATAGAACAAATGTAAAAGAATGGGGTCTATCCTGCACTACTGCATTGGAGGCATGGCCAAGGTATAATAATAATAAAAATAATAATTATTATTATTATTATTAAAATTATTATTATTATTAGTGTATTTAGTACAGGGTTTACAGGGTCTCACTAAACAGATTGGACTGGTAGTGATCCTGCTGTTCTCAGTCTCCTAAGGCTGGGATTACAGGTGTGCACCATCATGCCCAGTCTCAGTCACTGTCTCAGCATGCCAGGAATCAAACCCTGGTCCCTGGGTCTGCCTAAGCAGGCACTTTAGTCCACTGAGCTATCTGGGTGGCCTTCATGGTATCATTAAATTTACAAAATCCCTCTAAAATTTCTGTTCATGTGCATATATATACTATGTAAATTTGTAGGTTCATGTTTGAGCAGGTATAGAAAAATATGGAAAAAAATTTAGCAAATAATTACCTAGGAAGAATGAAGTCAGGGTGGTGTGAGGTAGTGTAGAGGCCAGGAGATACAGGGCTTTACTTTTTCATGTAATTCTATTTTATGAAAATAAAATAAGATGTACACAAGTTTTATTTATTTATTTATTTATTTATTTATTTTTAGGGTTTTATTCGGGGAGTCAGGGTCTCACTACACAGCTCAGACTCTCAGTGATCCTCCTGATTTCTGCCTCCCTAGTGCTGGAATTATAGGTGTGTGCCACCATGCCTGGACTCCATCACTGGCTCAGTGTGCCCAGGGGTGGGGTCAGCACGGCATGCAGTGCCATGGAGCAAACCCTGGCCTCTGTGCTTACCTAAGCTGAGCTATATCACTGGCCTTCACAAGTTTTATTTTTTAATTTTATGAATTAACTGGCTTGGGAAGATTTAGAAAGGGTGGTATTTTCTCTAGGACAGAAGGAAGAAAGACAAAAGACAGGTTATGTGGCTAAGGAATGGGCAACTGAGGTAGCTTTGTACTGGCGTCTGTTAGATGATGAGGCAGCTAAAATGGAGCAAAATCAGAAAAAAGTGCATGGGCAGGGGAGAGCAATATACATAGAAATAGGCATTGAGGTGGGTGGTGTGGACAGGGAGGACCACATTGATGCAGGGCTCAACTGGAGGAAAACTTTGATTTTGTATGTAGTACAAACTCAGGAGGGGCATGGAAAAAGAGGCCAGGCAGCTCCAGGAAAGCTACTGACCACAAGTCTTTCAAGTATTGTTTTCATAATTTTTTATTAAAGGATTTGGCCTGTTAGGTTTTAGATATTATCTTTGATAGCATTATGGAAAGGTAAAAACATTTTTACAACTCCATGTGTTGTGTTTATTGAATGTGTTTTCCTCTATAAATCTAGGGAAAAGCATTCAATAAGATAGAATAAATTTTGCTTGCATCACTGAATTCTATCTACAAATGCAACAGGTGCTCTGCCTTGGCCTTTGAGACCACAGGCAAGGATGCTTGATGCTAGGGAAGGTTAAAAGGGGGATGCCTTTCAAAACATTACTTCCAAAGTGAAGGCCTAATTCTATGAGATGAGAGAATACAAGAAATGGAATGAGATTTGTCTTGGCTACTCTTCTCTCATTGCTAGGACAAATACCTGACACCCAAAATGAAGGGAGGAAAGGTTTACTTAGCTCACAGTTAGTGGAGGTTTCAGTCCACACTCAGCTGGCTCCAAGGCAGAGTGGCACATGGCAGACAGCAACTGTGCATGGCAGAGGCAAAGAGCAAGAGCAAATTGGAGGAGTAGTGGCAATAATGGCTACAGAGAGCAAGTCTGTCTCCCTTAAACTGCATTCAGGCTATCAGCTCCAGGCTGGCTGTAATATTCACAGCCATAATCCCAGCAGTACTCAAACCCATAATCACAGTGGATCATGAGTAAATCGCAAATTCAGGAGGTCTGCCCCAAGACCGAATGAGACTTTGGGGAGACAACTAGACACAAACCATAGCAGATTGCACTAGAAGCAGTGTATTGTTCCAATTCAGTTGCTGTACCTCTAGAAAGCTGTAATATTCCCCTTTGAGATTGCCTTTTGAGATCACAACCAAGTGGTAAAAGGAAGAGCCAGGCATGGTGGCATTGTCTATAATATGAGCATTCAGGAAAGGAGACTGAAGCAGGACAAACACCTTGAGTTCAAGACCAGCCTGGGCTACATAGTCCAGGCTAGTCTGAACTTCATAATCAGACCCTTTCTCAACAAAACAACCCAAAAACTAAGTGATGAAAGGGAATGACAACCAGGTGTTCCTTTGTTCACCTTCCTCTTTCTGATGACCTATTCATGTGCTGGGCAGTCAAACTTAGCTATGCCTGCCTTTAACTAATAGAAAATAAGGGGTTTGGGAGATAACTCAGCAGTCTAAGTGCCTACCTGGCAAGCACAAGGACTGGGGTTCAATCCCCAGTACCACATGTTGTGCCATCGAAACTGGACATGGTAGCACATGCCTGTAATCCCAGCTCTAGGGAGACTGAGATAGGTGGAGCTGCATAGGCAGACTCTATACCAACTAAAGAAACAAGGAAAAGATTTTTTAAAAATTATAGAAAGTAAAAAATAACTCAAATAGTATTTTATTTATAAACAACAATGCGTTGTCACCTTTGTTTAATGTCATTAGAGATCAAAGTCAAAAGTTGATGAGAGTGTACAGCAAGATTACCTAGTATAGGAAGCTTCCTTGATGACATAAAAATCAGGATTTTCTATGGCTTTTCATCATGCTGCAAATAATCAATGTTGACAGCTTGATTTTGTTGCATGTCACTTCACAAAATTGTCTTCCTGACATTTATTTCTATTGGCAAAACTTAACATAATTTAGGGCCAGTCAGATAGCTCAGCAGACTAAAGCACCTGTTTAGGCAAAGCCTGGCAGCTGGGGTTTGATCCCAGGTGTGCCCTGCTGTGCTGTGCCCACCCTGCACCCGGGGCATGCTGAGAGGCTAGCTGAGACTGGTCATAGTGGCGCACCCCTATAATCCCAGCACTTGGGAAAACAAGGAGGATCACTATTAGTATGATCTGT